GAGATGCTCATGTTGCTGCGGTCTGCAGTCTGACCGCTAGATGTCGCTAAAAGTTACACACTGTAGCTTTAATGACATTTTCTTAGACTGATGTTCTGTAATGTTCTAGTTTTTTCATTTTATATTAAACATCAAACTCCAGCCTTGAAAATAATCTTTAATTCTGTGTCTGATGGATCTATGAAGGAAATCAGTTCCTGTTGCTGCTTTGATGCCACAGAGCAACACAGAAGGTTAATGTGATGATTTCATTTGATCTCTCACGCTTAAATCTGTCCACTGTCTCTGGTGAAAATTCTTCTTCAGGTTCTGGTGAAGCGGCTCACAGATAGAGGGTTCCTCTTCCTGCTGTCCAGTGTTCAGATGGCCGCAGCAACGGGTAAGACGCACGCCGACCCCCTCAGAACAGAACCGGGTCTGAGCTCTTAGCTGTGTTATGAGAGAGAAGCAGGTCAGCGAGGTCACAGGGTGCCGACCCGTTAGGAGCCCTGGGGCGGGTACCGCTCCCTTTAGGGCGGGTTTAAAGCTCCAGTCGTCCAGGGTCGGCACCCTGCACCTTCTAGATCCGACTGAATGACCTCGTCAGGATGGCATGTACTTATATAGTGCCTTTATTCAAGTTAGGAGACTTGACCAAAGCGCTTTACACTACATTCATTCACGCACACACTCACACACTGATGGTGGCAAGCTACATTGTAGCCACAGCTACCCTGGGGCTCACTGACAGAAGCAATGCAGTTCAGCTCTCCGCTGCTGCGCTGGTTATTGGATTCAGGTTTGTTGAAGCAGTTTAGAGGCTCTGATCCATTCATCATCTGAACATTGGAGAGAGGATGGACCACCTGCAGGTCCACCACCACATGAAGGTCCTCATAGACCAGGGGTCGGCAACCCGCGGCTCCCTGGAGCTTTTTACAAAAATTTATGAAAAATTGATTTTTATTTATTTTAATGTTCTGTGCAGGAGATCAAACAAACATTCATTATGTTTTCCAATACTATAAGCATTTGTATAATAAATACATTTAAACAATATATGTAGACATTTATTTCAACAAAAATGTGCATCAGCCATATAGATCAGAGGTCAAAGTCTGCGACACGTATCTCAGTGCAGCGCCAGGCAAACAAAGCGGTGGGTGTGTCGCCATGGATCCCAAAGGGAAAAAAAGGAAGATGGCTGATGAAACAGAGGATTCAGAGAAGAATGGAGACGATCGTTTGCTTTCATTATGAATGCAGAAGGATTGCTTGCATTTTTGCTTTGGTAAAATCTAAATCACACCAGGGAACGCTGGTGATGGAGGATGTGGGATTTCAGGGTTAGAGAGCTCTGCTCTGATGATGTCACTTCCTGCTTGCTTCCTCATGACTCCATAAGCTCCTCCCAACAGAAACACATCCACCATAGAAAGATTCCTTTATCCTGTTTCTATCTGTATTAGGAAATTTAGGCAGGATCAGGATGAGTCGGCAATAAAGATGACACACAGAACACACAAACGGTTTTTGCTAGAATTAAAATGTGTCGTTTTTTTCCGCCACAGAAAACAGCAAAGCACATCAATCAAGGCACGGTGCTGAATACAAATTATATTGTCTCAATACAATTTATATTGTCCCCCTACCGTGACACAAGGATCGGAGGGCCGGGCAGCAACCCGCGCAGCTAGGCGTCCGTACGCAACCCTAGCAGACCCCGCCAGTGCCAACCGCCATCCGTCATTTATGCCAAACTTCAAAGGAAAATCTTTCACCCAATCAGGAAAAGTGATCGCTCCCTCTAACGCCTGGAGTGCATGATTACAGAAACCAAAATATGGAACCGACGTCCCCCGAACCCAGCCAGGGCTTGTGGACAGCCGAAACCAAAAACATTATTACATCATGGTCAGAGCATGGCACCGAGAGCTCGTGAGTACAAAAACAAATGATATCATGCTCTCAAGGAAACAGAAAGTTAGATAATGAGAGTGCTTAAGTTATAAGAGGGCTTCATTTGTGATACAAAACTTGTATGATTGTCAAAGAACATAAAATATAAAACCCATATATATCACTATCATTTCATCAATGCAACAAAACCTAAACCGCGTGGTTAATGGCGGTGAAGGTAATTTAAACATATCATGATATATATATCATGTATCACGATTGTGTATCGCGATTATAGCCCACATATATATCATGATATATATTGTGTATCGCGATTATAGCCCACATATATCATGATATATATTGTGTATCGCGATTATAGCCCACATATATATCATGATATATATTGTGTATCGCGATTGTAACCTAAACATATGATATATATTGTGTATCGCGATTGTAACCTAAACATATNATGATATATATTGTGTATCGCGATTGTAACCTAAACATATCATGATATATATTGCGTATCGTGACTATAGCCTGAATATATCATGTTAGCTTTTCTTCATGTCACCCTTCAGTGGAGATCCAAAGAGATTTCTGAAGCGGGTGGAGTAACGCCTGAACAGGTTCCTTTATAACCTGGTGAACTGAGCCTGGGCTTTAAAAAGGCCGAGACTTTTGAAAAGGGGCTTTGAAACAGAAATGTTTTAGCAGATGTGAATATTTTTCTGTAGGCGTGGATCTGTGACTGACTGATGGGTCTGTGCTTTCAGAGAGAGGAGACACCTGGAAGAGGAGCCTTCAGGCCTTGTTTGTTTTCCCTGAATCCAGAGATGTGTCCAGATACGGTGAGTGAAGTGATCGCTTCTCCTGGACATGATGGACATGAACAACCTCAATGCTGAGAGAGAAGCAACTGGACTTCTGTTGCTTTTCTTCAGAGCTGGAAGTTGTTTTTATTGCCTTGCTTAGCAAATCGGTGATATTTTGGTGCTTTTATTGAAGTTTCTTTTAGAGATGTCCCGATCCAGGTTTTTGCACTTCCGATCCGATACCGATATTGTTTTTGGACT